GGGGTTTCCATCGGAAAGGGGGAGGGGATACTGTTGGTGCGACGGTGGTCTCCAGAAGTATAAGTGAATTGCTTAGGGATGTTATGGCAGAATTTCAGACTTCACCTATCACATTATCACATGATTTGCTTCTTAACAAAACTCTTCTGCCACCAAACGTGTGGGGTTTTTCTTTATACGACAGTCAGTTCCCACTGCCCTGACCCTGGCCGGATAGCCAGTGGTTCAGCCCGTTTCTCACACTAACTGCCTGGAGTCGTGTCAGACCGCACGGGGTAAGGGTCCAGCTCACAAGACTGCTCCCACTTCAACACCATTGCAAGTCCTGGGCCAACCCTGCCGCTGACCAATCAGCTCTAAACTCAGGGGCTCCCACAACCCCCTCCGCAGGTTCAACAATGTGCTGGAACAGCTCTTAGAACTCAGGAAGGCACTTCACTTATTGTTGCCAGTGTATTGTAGAGGATACAACTCAGGAACAGCCGAATGGAAGAAATGTATAGGGCAAGGTATGGGGTGTGTGTGTGTATGTGTGTGCATACGTGTATGTGCGTGTGTGCACGCGTGTGTGTGCCCGGCCCTCTCCTGCATCACCTTCCCAGCACCTCAATGTGTACACCAACCCCATAGTTCAGGAGTGGTTTAGGGGTTTTATGAAGGTTCCATCATGTAGTAATGATTGATTGAATCATTGGCTGTTGGTGATTGATTGACGCAGTCTTCAGCCCCTCTTCCCTCCCTGGAGGAGGGGTGGGGGCCTGAAAATTCTAACCCTTTTATCACATGGTTCATTCCTCTGATACCAGCCCCCCATACTAAAACTATCTAAGTGTTTCTAGCCACCAGTCACCTCGTTAAGATAAACTCAGGTAAGGTTGAAAGAGGTTTATTATTAATTTTTTACCAAGATGCTTCTCTTAACCCCATCACTCAGGAAACTTCGTGAGTTTTAATAAGGTCTGTTCTAGGGACCAGGAACAAAGACCAAATATATATTTCTTATTTTATCACAGGATCACAACCTATTTATCTGAACGTGCTACCTTTGGACAGTAGATTGACTAAGATAGCTGTTTTTTTTTTTAAAGATTCTTTTTGATGCTTGATTTCAGTTTAGTACCACTTGGCACGGAGATAGAAGAGGTGGAGGGGAAAAATCTGCTTCTGGATTTTCAGGAGCAATGACATTAATAGACACCTGTTTTGTCTCATCTTGTGATTAGCTATGGAATTTTTGGTATAGAATGTAGCACTGAATACAATGGTTTCATTGGAGAGAATATATGGAATGTGTCCCTATATTTTGAGACAGGTATGGTCAGTTGTGTATAGCAGAACTAACTACAGAACTAAGTATAAGCATCGGCCTGGCCCAGGACTAGAGAACTCGGTTACATTAGCATCTGCTCCCTGCAGTTACCAGACTGAAGGGGTCTGGGCCGTTCACCTGCCTGCAGCAAAGAGTTTTATTTGTTGAGGAAATGCTACCAGCTCGGAGTCCCAGGTACATTAGTGCTCAACGACCTGGCTACCCGATGGCTTCCAGGGGAGGAGTTATAGGCGGAAAATCATTCATCATGGTGGCTAAAGGAATTATTGGGGTCCTGGGCTGTCCTGATTGGTTGGAGCCAGGGAGTAGTTGATCATTGCATCCAGTCTAGATGTCAGCCATGGCATTATTCTGTCTGGTTTCGTGAGGGTGTGGTCCGTAGGGTCATTGTGCTTTCATGAGCGCTGGGCTGAAACACAACTGAAGTCCAGATGTTACCTTTAGCTTGACTGAAAGTCTGTTTCTGTGGTCAACACAGCTGAGGCTTTGATTTTAAGACCGTTTGATACTGACCAGAATCTGATGTCCAAAGGGCTTAACGATTGAAGAAGGGAGTGTACAGCCAGAAAGGAGAAAGGGCCATGTTCCAGAAACGGAGTCTCTGCTGGGTCAACGGCTGCCATCCATTGTAGCTGGGAAGACGCACTGTTCAGAACCTGGAAGAGGCCTAACTGGGACCCTTCTTCACCTCTACTTTTAGAGTACTTGTGCGACTGCTATGAGTGAAACTTTTGCTTTTTCTCCCCATTTCCCAGCTGGTGACCATAGGATCTCTTCAGGTTTGTCCTGTCTTCCCAGTCTGTTCTGAACCGTTCTCGTGGCTCAGACTCTAGGCCAGTATGTACAGCACCCAGTTCTTCTCCTTCTTGCTGCTTCCTGTGAACCCCATCTGCAGCACACCGAGGATGAGTGGTGTTGCGAATTGCTTATTAGGTCTTTGTAGGGGTGGTGGGCACAATCTCTGCCTCGTGCTCAAAGAGAAAAGATGAGACGAGATGAAAGAAGTTTTAGATCTCAAGGGATGTGCCATTGACCTTGTCCTCCAAAGAGGAAGGGAGGGGTACTCTTTCCTGCTTTGTTGTATAGAACTTGAATTTTCTAAATATCCACATGTAACTAATTTTAGGGAACCCCTGCAATCAGATTTTTCTCTACCCAAGAGTTGAGTGCACAGCACTGAAAAGGAAAATCCTTTCATGTGGCTGTTCTTTCTAAGTACTTTCAATCTTGTCCTCTGAGATTTAATATCCTTTTGATCTTCCCAATCCAGTTTTAATTTGGTTCAGGAAGGATTAAAAAAAAACAAAAACACAACACTAATAATGTAGCATTGGGATAATGTCGGCAGGAATCATGAGCCCTACATGTACTTCAGTAAACATTGTTGACTTTGTTTCGGCTTGCAAAAACAGTCCGGGAGAAATAAGCTGCCGTCTGTGCCTCGGTGTTTGCTATATTTTGTTGTTAAGTAAAGCTTCCTGTTCTGCTCACAAATGATTGTGCCTGGGGTGGTTTATGTGTTGTGTTCCCCTTCAAGAGGAAGCCTGGTTTATGATGGAAGATAAAACCTGATGTCTTCTTTGCGAGTAAATCGATTGTTGTAGGAGAGTGTGGATGACATCGGCCCAGTCACCTTCTTACTTGGTTAAAATATTTAGAAATGGTCACATTGAGCTGCACCAACGTCTGGACTTTAAGTTAAAAATTCAGTTCCTCAGGGGCACTAGATGCATTTCCAGTGCTAACATGGCGAATGAGATCTTGATATTTGGGGCCCAGTAGTTGTCTGTTGGGGACAGAGGATTGTCCCGTGCATTGAAGGATGTTTAGTAGTACCCCCAGCCTCCACCTGTGAGATGCCAGTAACACCCCCTATTCATGACAATCAGAACTGTCTGCAGAGATTGTCAAAAAATCACCCCGGGTTGAGAATCACCGCCTATGGCCACAGTTTGGGACGATGCAGACACAAAGTATTTCTGTCATCACAGACAGTACTGTTCTAGAAGAATCCCTAGCAAAGTTTGGTTTGGAGCATTTTATAGATGAAGTGTTTTGAGCTCTCGGGGAATCAGAGTGGTCATCCAGTCCAGTGCCTTGGGAAACTGAAGCACAGAGGGGTTTTTGAGAGACTTTGTATTCGTGGCGTGTGTCAATGAAGAGTTCTGGACTTGAAGTTCATGCAGCCCGGAAACCATTTCCCTGTGCTCTTGCACACAGTGAAGAGAGAGTCCTGAGGCACAGGAGTGGTCCAGTCCTGAGACTCTCAGAAAAGTCAGTTCCTAACTTGAACCCTAGATACACCTATTTTACCTCTCCATAGCCTGTGGCTTTCTCTAAGGCCCTGCTCCCAGGCCGGGGTAAGATTGGTGCTGGGACATCTGGTAGACACACCCTTGCTCAGTGAGAGGGCAGAATCCTTTTGGGTTTCTTAGTTCCGTCTTTCAGAGAGACTGGGAAAACTCTGGGACCATGGAAAACTATAATCCTGTAAAATTCCTTTTTGTTCATTTTTAAATCTCCAGTATGCTCCTGTCTCCTTCCCTGAAGCGGCTCATGGCAAAACCTTTAATATGAAATTCCTGGAAGTTCTTTGAAGGCCACAAGGAAGCAGAGAGCCCTGGAGACTCGTCTATGGAAAGTTTGGGGAGTGAAGAGGCGTCTCCCCCAGGGGGGCGGTACCTAGAGCTGCAGGGGTCAGGAAGTAGGTTTTGCTAGGGCAAGTCTGAGGGTGACCCAAGGCCTGCAAAGTGACCCAGGGCCTTTGATGTGTGCTGGTATCCTTCCTCCCATCCGTCTACACACCTCACATCTCCCGATGGCCTCTGCGACTGCTGATTGTACCCTCTCAGTCCCCTGCCCCGAACCTTCCGTGGCTCACTGCTGCTGTTTCACTGCTGAAACTTAGTCTTGTACTCAAGGCCCATTTGCTTTTGTAGAGAAGTCCTGCCTTTGTAAGAGTAAAAACTAGTTCTTTGCACAGGAAAGCTTTGCTGTCACTGTGGCTTGCATACTTGCTCTGTTGGGGCTGGAGTTTAGCCTAGGAGGCTTTGCTCAGAGCTCTTTGATGTTAAGTAGCTTGCTCAGGAAGAAGTTCTGTTCCTGGTGCTACTTTGTTGAGTCGGTAGCCTGGACAACTACTTAAAATCAGTATAGAGCTCAAAGATCAGGGCCCAGTGAGCAGGCCAGAAAGAGTGGCAGTAGAAGCAAAGAATTACGTGTTTTAAAAACCCTCAGATAACCTTGAACTGTTGGCCAGTTTGGTTCTAGAACACTGTGGGCCCAGTGAGCTGTGGACCAGGTCAAAGGCCAGTGTTCTGAGAGGCCAGCTGTGGGGTTTAGCAACAAATAAGCTAATGTGTAAGCTGGCCTTGAGGTCTTTGTAAGTTGCCTCATCTTCCCAACTTCAGATAAAACAAGAATTACATGTCAGAGTTTGGTAACCAGCTGCTATTTCATTGAGCTGTTGATGTTTCTTTTTGGGAAACCTGCTTTCTTGAGTGTTGCCACGGTGAAGGGGAAGGTATTTTACAGCGCCCGTTTAGGGGAAGACTCTGATTTGAGCCACAGTAGGGAAGGATGGGGAGCTGGGAGGACCGAGATTCTGCCTGTTAGCACTGCTGTGGCCACTGTTGTCCACTGACTGCTGTGTCTCCCCTTTGCTCCGCAGACCAATGAGTGGAACAAGAATGATGACCGGCTGCTGCAGGCCGTGGAGAATGGAGACGCGGAGAAGGTGGCATCCCTGCTGGGCAAGAAGGGGGCCAGCGCCACCAAACAGGACAGCGAGGGCAAGACTGCGTAAGCTCTAAAGATTGGTTTCTAGCCGGCCAGCTCGTGGTGCTCAGAGTGTTCTCTGGAGTCCTTAGGATCCATAGGGGACCTTCACAAGTGCTTTTAAGGGTCTTTGAGAAATGGCTGTCCCCCTACACCGTGTTAACATATATAAGAGGGTATTTCAATCTAGTTCCTTTCTCTTCAGGTTCCGAATTACACATTGGGCTTTACCTTGAACGGCTGTATTTGTTCCCAGGTATAACCAAAGATTTCACCAGAGAAGAAATAGCACCAGGATTGCAACCAATTGATGGGTGGGAAATGAATTCTTTCCTAGACTAAAAACTGGCATCAAAGAGAAAGAGTATTTTTTTTCTCATAACCCTCAAACCTTACTTTTTATATTATTATTCCTTTTTAAACCCCTTCCTTAACACAGGTCAGTAATTAATTAATTAATCCATCAGTAGCATGGATTTTGCTTTATGATTTTCCGTGTGGTACTCTGGCTTGCCATAATTAAAGCTATTTGATTAAGTGGGAGTGTGTGTTACTCTGGTAGTATAGTAGAGAGATCATTGACGTTGGAGCCAAATAGACTCTAATTTGGACTCTGTCACTTGTGGGTTCTGTAGTCCTTGAATCTCAGTGTGTTTACTCAAGTGGAGGTGGTAGTATTCAACCACATAGTATTTCTGAGTGTAAAACAAGATACTGCCGTTGGTTGAGCGCCCCAGAAGCAGGCTCTGAGACAAGAATCTGAGTGCAAGTAGTTTCTGTAGACAGTGACCCCACCGTGCACAGCAAGGGGATGAAGGAGCATATTATTGGCAGGTTAGTGCTGTGGTCAACTGGAACTCATTTTCACTGAGAACCTCTGGGAATCTGTTTAGACTTAGAGCAGGGGTGGGCCAACTATGTCCCGCTGTCTTTGTAAATAAAGTTTTATTGGAATGCAGCCAAATCCATTATCATCATTGCCCATGGCTGCATCTGCACTGCAAAGGCAGATTTGAGTAGTCAGGACATATACCGAACGGCCCACAAAGCCTAAGATACTAAGTCTGGCCTCTTACAGAAATATTTGCTTCCCCCAGAGTTACCCCACCCAGGGGGTATAGATTCCTAATCTTTTGTCCCTCCAAGACTGAGTGTTACTCTTCCTGGCCATATGCTTATGACCAGAATGAGTCCCAGAAGATACGCGGGGCGCCCACAGCTGTAGACATGGTGTGCAAGGGGCCAGCCCAGTACCCAGCCCATAGCGGGCACTGGGTGGACGATCCTTCGTCTAACCCTTCAGCTTTAGAACCACCTGGGGTGCTTTTAAAAATATCGATGCCACCCTGGCCGGCTTGGCTCAGCGGTTGGAGCATCGGCCCACGGACCAGAGAGTCCCGGGTTCGGTTCCCACTAAGGGCACATACCTTGGTTGCAGTTTTTCCCCGGCCCCAGTTGGGGTTGTGTGTGTGGCGACCGGTCAATGTGTCTCTCTCACATCGATGTTTCTCTCTCTTTCGTCCTCCCTCCCTCCCACTCTAACTGAAGATAAATGCAAAAATGTCCTCAGGTGAGGATTAAATATATATATACACACACACACACATATATGTCGATGTCATGCCCACTCCAGATGTCCTGTGTCATAAGGTCTGTGGAGAGGCCCAGGAATCCGTACGTTTAGTGTCCCGTGTGGGTTCAGCCAGACAGAACCAGCATCTAGAAACTAGATGGACTCTAGATTGAAGGATAGGTAGTGAGAATAAAGGGCAAATTTTCAGAAGATTGAGCATCACATTTTAGCAAATGTTTCCAATTAAACCCTCTTCCTGACCCCCATTGGATCCCATAGCGCAGACACCAACCCTGTTGTTGTGGGAGCCACAGGACAGTTTAAGAGCTGAGCCCTGTCTAGGACAGGCGTGTTGTTTCAGATCAGAGTTTGGTCCTCTAGGAGCTGGGTTTGTCCTTTGCCAAAGCCCCAGGATGACCCCTGCCCCCAACTTCGGTTTGACTTGACCTTTGCAGAGGCCTGTGTCTCAGGTGTGGGGCACAGGGCTCAGACTCGGCGAACCCTGACTTTGGTAGCCAGGACTCCCAGTAATGGGCGGGCTTTGTTTGTTGACTAATATGTTAAGCCTTCTTAACCTTTTGTAATTATTAGTTCTTATCCCTGTTGCATTCCAGATTAAAATTTTCTTGATAGAAGGGACTGTAACTTTACATAGCTATAATGACATCATCCGGCCCACTGCTGGGCTCGTTGAGATACTCGGAAAGTATTTGCTGAATGAGTCGGTCGACCTCTTCCCACAGCGCCACATGTGGAGTCAGAGCTATCGCGTGGCAGTGGCGGAGGCCACAGTCCGGTCCTGAGATTTTTGGTGGTAGACGCGGTGCTTTTGGATGACTTCTTGCCGCTTCCTTGGCGGTGTCCTGCTCCCTCCAGCCCAGCTTTGCGGGTGTCTACACAAAACAGCCTTTACAGCTGTGCCGGGAAAGCGGAAGATAACAGGGAACGATAGTTTTGTCCAAGACAGACCCCACTAAAAGGAAAATAAAAAACTTACATCAGCAGCTTAACCACGGTTGTGATCAGCTGAATAGTTCATACCTTTTGTTAATAAGACATTTATTATGTCAAGAGGACATGTCCAGAATGTTATTTTCTATTCTCTCTCTTTTCTTTCAATCATAGTAAAATATACATAACATAACATTTACCATTTTAACCACAATAGAGTATACATTTCTGTGGCATTGAATGGCATTTCTGTGGCACGATGGTGTACAACCATCTTCATTTTCTATTTCCAGAAGTTTTTCATCATCCCAAATGAAATTCTGTACCCAACCCCCACCCTTTCCCTGGCAATCACTAATCTGCTTTCTGTCTCTGAATGTGTCTGGCACTTCGTATAAATGGAGTCATACAGTATGGAGCCCTTTGTCTCTAGCTTCTTTACTCAGCATAATGGTTTCAAGATTGATTCTTATAACATGAATCACTTCATCGTGTTCTCTTCTAACGGTACAAATGCACAGTTACACAAAACAGCAGTTACACAAAAATCACCACCTCCATTTTGCAGGTGATTAAACCAAGGCCCACGGGATGCAGCTTTGGCTCCGTTAACTCCAGGGCATTTCTCGCACGTCTATCTTTGCACGTGCAAACCTACCAGTTTTCCCTTCGATGACACGTATGTGGAAAGTTAGAACCGTATGAAAAAGGGAGGGAGGCCCTGGCTGATTTGGCTCAGCAGTTAGAGCACCGGCCTGCGGTCCAGAGAGACCCAGGTTTAGTTCCTGCTAAGGGCGTGTACCTCGGTTGCAATTTGTCCCCGACCCTGGTTGGTCGTGTAGGTGGCAGCCACTCGATGTGTCCCTTTCACGTCGATGTTTCTCTCTCTCTCTCCCTTTCTCTCCCTCCCACTCTATCTGAACAAAAAATGGAAAAATGTCCTCGGGTGAGGATAAAAAAAAGAAAAAAAAGAAAAAGGAGGAAGAAGATGTTTATTTTTTTAGTGCATGATTTCCCATAAACTAATCACCTGTTAACATTTACTTTTTCTGCTTGGAATATTGAGGATTAAAGTTATGAACTGACAACTACAAGAATTTAATTTTTAAAGGCACCACGGAATCAAACCTACCTGGCTTCATACTTCCTTTCGCATCAAATGGTCTCTGTATGCAGAACGAGAGGGGCTGTCGCAGGAGCCATCTCTCCCGTCCTCCTGGCTTCATGCGATGACCACGGCCGAGGTTCTCCATAGCAGTGGGCCCCAGGAGGGTTCCCTTGGCTCAGCCTTCTCCCCGCTGCGCGTCTACGCTTCTGCATTTGCGTTAGTGCAGTCCGTGCATTCCTGCCCGAGTGTGTGTGTCTCCCTCACACTTGCAGATTTTTCTCCAGCTGTGAAGGCTTTGCTGTTGCTGTTCGTGTTCTTTCCACGTGCAGTGGTTTGGAGGGATTCTGAATCCATGACGGGCCAGCCCAGCATGCCCCTCTGCAGGAGCTCTTGCCCCCGCCCCGTGGAGCCTGCACGGCCAGCATTTTGTTGGGACGTGTACGCCATGTTTTGCATTTGTCTCCAAAGGGCAAGGCCAGGTCACACACTTGAAAGTTAGGTCCTTGAGAGTACTTGGCCTCATTCTCTGCCTGCTTGTTCGGGTTTACCCTTTGATTTATCCACCTTCATGTCAGAATCAGGATGGAGGCTTGTTTTCTAGAGCTTTTATGATAACCTAGTTTGCTAGTTGGCTCAGCCGTGCAGTGTTTCTGTGTTGCCTGACAGCCTGGAGGCCTGCTCTGGGCTTTCAAGGGCCCATTGAATGTGGGCTGGATGCTCTCTCGCACTGGGCTCCTAGTGGAGGTGGGGCAGTCCGCTCCCGGCCCTCCCCTCATGTAAGAAGGTCCAGATGTCTGCCCAGCTTCTGTGTCCGGTCCACAATGCCTTCCTCTCTGATGTTCTCAGTCCTTTTGTGATTTTCCTTCTCTTTGAACTACTACAGTCTTTGTTTAGAATTTTGTGTATTTTCTTATATTGAAAGTACAGGAGCAACAGCAGAAAAGACTTGACAGCTTAAGAAACACCTTTGTTACCCTGGCCAGTTTGGCTCAGCAGTTAGAGCGTCGGCCTGCGGTCCAGAGAGACCCGGGTTCGGTTCCCGCTAAGGCACGTATACTTCGGTTGCAGTTTGTCCCCGGCCCTGGTTGGGTTGTGTGGGTGGCAGCCACTCACTGTGTCCCTTTCATGTCGATATTTCTCTCTCTCTTCCTCCCTCTCTCCCTCCCGCTCTATCTGAAGATGAATGCAAAAATGTTCTCGGGTGAGGATTAAAAAAAAGGAAACTCCTTTGTTTTCTGAAAGACTTGACTCCCTAACAACACAGTAAGCTCGCCGAGGACAAGGATTGTGTGACTTTTGTGGTTGTGTTGGTCTTTTCCACTATTCCAAGCACAGAAGAGGCAGTTGGTCAGAATTTGTAGGAGTGACTAATCAGGATGGGTCTCATGGAGA